ATTGTCAAATGCAAAAAGAAAAGAAAACAAACACAGCTTAACCATTCATCCAGAAACAAGAACAAGGGTTCATACAAAAGGAATCTCTCCAGGTTCTTTGCAATCTGTCTTCTTGGTGTACTCTACTCACAAGCATGTACTACAGGTTGAAATGCCCTAATTTTGTCCAGTCCTGCTGATCCTGAATAACAAAGCACATCTGAACTTGCAATTATAGCTGAACAAAAGCAATGTAAATATACAGTGAAATGAGGTTTGGGTTTGCAAAACATTCAACAGCAATGTTTTCTCCCAGAAAAAAAGGAACTCTTTATGTTTTAGCTCGGAATATACATGTAATTTAACATACTGTATACCAAATGGGAAGGGACGCGGTGGCTCAGTGGCTAAGACGCTGAACTTGTCGATCAGAATGGTCGGCAGGTTGGCGGTTTGAATCCCTAACGACACGTAACTGAGTGACCTCCCATTACTTGTCCCAGCTTCTGCCAACCTAGCAGTTTGAAAGCATGTAAAAATGCAAATAGAAAAATAGGAATCACCTTTGGTGGGAAGGTACAGTAGAAGCATTCTGTGTGCCTTTGGCGTTTAGTCATGCCGGCCACATGACCACGGAGTCATCTTTGGACAGTGCTGGCTCTTTGGCTTTGAAACGGAGATGAACACCGCCTCCTAGTTGAAGAATGACTAGTACATATGTGCAAGGGGAACCTTTATCTTTTACTTATACCAAATGAGATAAATACACACCCACACACACTTTTAATTGAGCCAAATGTCTGCATTATGAGGTTGTAAATCTGGATAGGAAACTCCAGGCACAATATATTTCAAATTCATGTAATGCTCCATGCATGTGGGCAATGACTTTAAAGAAATCCATTAATCCATAAATTCCAGAAAATGTTAGCCAGGTCCCATCTCTATTATTTTGTTAAATGGGTAGTGAAGCCACAAAACAGCACCAAAATCTAGGAAAAACTTACTGGGTCTCCCTGCCCATTGCAATCCAAATATGAAATCCAAGTCTTCTGCATTTCTTTACTACTAGCATGGCTTCATTGCTTTCAGGAGCTCATATCCTTGAAAAACACGAAACCTTCATTTAGCTTCCATGCTGAGACCCCCTATATTCTGTTAAGTACCCCTTCCATTCCATTTCTGCCTTGTGGTGGTGGTGGTGGTGGAAATAGGTAGACCTAAATCATAATACTTGCACAGCCACACTTTTAGGTGTGTCCCAGATCACCTGCTGATTTGGATGGTCTTTCGCCTTATGCTACTCATACACATATAAACACACAGACACAGATATACACACACACACACAGCAGCAGCAGCAGCAGCAGTAGCAGCTAAATGACAATTTCACTTAAGCCCAATCCACTTTTCTCTCTCTCTCTCACTGCCATATTCACATACACAAACACAACAAATTCCAGAAAAGGTGTGGATTTATACCAGTGGTGGGTTGCAGGCGGTACACCTGGGGACGGGCGTACCGGAGCCTGCCTGGAGCACCGGGTACCATTCTGTACAGTGCTCCAGAGGGTCCACCAGCCTGCCTAAGTGCCTTACCTGTCCTTTAAGCCATTGGCGCTTCCGTGCACGCGCGTGTGTGACGTTCCACTGAGCAGCTGGAGTGTTGCGAAGACTCGAGGAAGCATCGCAGGCAAGTACGCTGCATGCACACGCCATATGTGTGCGTGCGTGCGCTGTGTGCATCCATGTGGGTGACACTGGAGCCATTTCAACCGTACCCATTAGAACAGAGTCCGGAACCCACCACTGATTTATACCTAGATGAAATTAGGTGTTGAAGAACTCCAAAAGGAAGAAAGAAATCTTTTCAAATGCCCAAAAGCTGCTGGACAGTTTCAACATCTTTCATTTATGTAACCTAGGCAAATTTGCTCTCCAAACATTCAGGAGTTTTAGCCCTTACTTTAAAGTACCCGAAATCATTAAAATAAAAGGCAAAGAGGAAAGGAGGTGGGGAGGGGGTGGGGATCAGGTTTATAAAAAGCAGAACTGGGAAAAAGTGAAAGGGCATCAGATCAGATGCAGAGCCCCTTGTTACAGCCCCCCCACCCTGAGTTGTAAATGTCTCCCCCTCTTTGCAATGGCCAAGAGAAGAAGACACCAGAGACAAAGAGAACTGAAAGAGAGACCAGGCTCAGTCCACATTTCCATTTCCAAAAAATGTAAAGAAAAAAGATAATTTGTGATTAGAAAGATGTTCAGTCTCTGAAGAGCCATTTAGACAAATTAGTTGAGTTCACATATCTCAACTAAATATGGTTTATGCCTGAGAGGTAAATAAGACCATTGAGGCTTATTTGCTTATTTGACAAACCATGGTTAATCTTCTGTTAGTAGTTATGTGGGAATAGGTAATTATTTAACTTACTCTATAACAATGTTTTCAAAACCTTTTCTCTGATTCCTTCACACAAACACACACACACACACACACATAGAGAGAGAGGACTCTCTTTTTTGTTTGGATGAGTTGCAATTATTGATATTGACTGTATTAAAATGATGCATTGGCTGCTGTTTCTCAAAATTGTTTGATGAAATTTCAATATTGTATTTTGCAACATGGGCTGGCAAATAATTTTGACTTGCAGACCCTTGAGAGGGCCTTGGGGGGAACCCCCCCCAAAAGTGCTAGGACCATACTTTGAGAAGCACTGCTCTAGAACTAGCTATGTTCACATTGTGAAATTACTTTTCTCCTAACGCGACTTATATCAATTATTAAAGGCCAGCTGGGGGCGAAGCAAATCAGTATTGCCGACAAAAACCTTAAGTACATTCCTTTGCATGAACTCCTCTTAGTTTGTTCCCTACCTCTCTTTCAGTGATCCTTGCAGGAAAAGCAGAGGTTACCAAGCCTCTTCCGTTGGCTTAATTTCATAGAGATGGGTGGAGGCAGGTGGAGAAAAAGAGGCAGAGCCAAATAAATACAGTTATGGGGGTCAGGGGGGAGGATATTTGCACCTTCATCAGCTCAAGTAGGATAGTAACTTAGAAGAGATGTACTTGCTAATGGAAGAACTGTCTTCTACTTTTATGTGTAGTTAAACTACTGCATGATTTCCCCCCCCCCCAATTAAACTCTACCAGGAGATATTCTTTTATTGCCCACTAGGTGGCAGATCAGGACTTCTGACCAGCTATAATTCTGCAAAGAGTATGTTTATTTAAAAAGCAGCCCACAACTCAAAATTATGCCTATTGAAATGGAACCCAAATTATCTGATGAGTCAAAATACCAGCTCAACTAGTTCTGTACCAGCACCCAGGATTTCCACTCCCTCCCAGCTCTATTCTGATTAATTATCTGAGTACTGGATGCTCAGAGACACATTGTCCAGAAACCTAATTCATGCTTTCAAATATGAGCCATGGTATAGTGGTTAGAGTGCAGTACTGCAGGCTACTTTTGCTGACTGCTGGCTGCCTGCAGTTTGGCAGTTTAAATCTCACCAGACTCAGCCTTCCATCCTTCCGAGGTGGGTAAAATGAGGACTCAAATTGTTTGGGACAATATGCTGACTGTAAACTGCTTAGAGAAAAGCACTATAAAGAGGTATATAAGTCTAAATGCTATTGCTATTGCTCTGCTGAAGTTCTCTGTCTTTAAACCATATGTCCTCTTGACCACCATTTAGGTTGATCTTTTGTAATCCAGGAGGGCAAAGAACTGTAGTTCTCCTTGATGCTGGAGTTTCCCACAAGCACATCTGTCATTAGATCTAAAAGAGGGAGTCCCATGCTGTTTAATCAGCAGTATTCTTCTATTAGAGAGATCAGCCAATTCACCAGAACTGATTGCATGCACACAGCAAAAATGTTGGCTGCTTAGATCATCAGTGGAAAAATAAAAACAAAATTCAAATATCTTCCCACAGTAATCCTGGAAGATTAACATTGCTTATATATGTATCTCTGTCATATATCACAATGTGAACAGTCATAATTCCTCCAGACTGATTAAAACCCATCTCTGTGCTGTCTCTAAAGTACTGTTATATATTGAAAATGCTTTATTATAAATAACACAGCATGCCTGGTCTTTGAGCTGCTTGACTCTTAAAACAGTGTGGGAATGACTCAACAGAAAAGCGGAGCATTATTTTCATTGGCCTGAAAACTACCTGACGTTTTTCATTCCAAAAAAATGACATCTTTGGGGGTCCCATTTGTTTTGGCCATTGCTAAATTGCCCTATTAAGAATAGGACTACCAAATGTGAATTAAAGTCATCCAGGTATAGGGCTACCAGATGTGGTCAGATTGTTGTAGTCCAGGTGTGATAGCTCTTTGAGTCCCTTTTGAGGTCAATGGACCTTCCACCACCCCCTCTACTTCTGACTGTCTGGTAGGTGAAGATGTTCACAATTAGCCCAAACTAGAAGAATTAAAATGCATTTCAATCAATTAAGACAAATACTATTTGGAGAACTTTAAGGAAAGGGGGAAAAAGGAGGAATTTGGCATTTTGGAGCTGGCCCAAGGGAGGTGAGGCTGTCTGANTCAGACTCCATGTTATTTAAAATTTAAAGGTTAATGCCAGCAACTTAGTTTCTATCAGTTAAACACTTATCATCTGGCACAGATGTTTCAGTACAGGCATCATGTGGTCTGTATAGTGTACATGAATTAGGTTAGCTATTGCATTTTTCTAGTGGCAGCTTTTATAACATATGTATACGTCTGTTTATTGTATTGTGACTGTGACTGGTGTAGAGGGCAGCTAGCAGCTAAATATCTCTGAGGAGGGCAGGGTGGTGGTGGTGTCCTTGGTGCTCTCTGAGCTTGCTTGTTTTCTTGAAGGACCTTTGCTTTCCTTTTATATTCTAGTCGCCTGCCCTGTCAGTGTTAATGGGGGTGGAGATGCTTAGAGAATCTTGATTGGGCTGTTTACTGTGGGGCTTCTTTGGCAGTTCCTTGATTGGGGCACTGTTTACTTGATTGTTGGTTTTATGTTAATCTTGAACTTAATCTATGCTGATCTGGGTGCTGATTGCTGGTGGAGAGGTGCTTAGGTTTTTTTGTTCTTTTTTGGCTAGTTGATTGTCCCTTTTGCATAGATATTGTTAATGACTGTGTGTTTATTGATGGCTAATTTGTCAGAGTGGCTGGCTTCTGGAAATTCCCTGGAGTGTTTGGATATCTTTGGAATACAGAATACTTGAATTTGTAAACCTGAATAGACAGCAGAATGCAAAGATCTTATGACCAAAGATTAACCTTTCCAAAGCATTAATTTATGCTCAAAACCAATATTTGATATCTTCAGAAGAATTGGCCTTTTAAAATAAATGTATAGCGAAAATAGAGATATGCTTACTAAATATTTTTTTCATGTTGGTTCAGTAACATTCTTGTCAAGAATTAAACTGTCTATGATAGTGGAGGGATTTTGAACTTTAACTGTTAGGGAGCTTCCGCCTTCTGAATTGTTATTTCTGTTATTCCCCCCTTCCCCCCAATATTTTTACCAAGATGGATCTCAGGGGAAGGTATCACATTATTTATATAAAGGAGGAACATGAATACATTGTTTTTGTCATGTGCTATGGAATATTTTGAGTCCATAATCATGCCTTATCGTTTGGTAAACGCTTCTTCAAACTTTATTTGATTTTAAAGATGAGGGTTTTTTGTAACAGTTTGGAGCCTAATTTTATTATCTATTTAGATTCAACTTCCCATTATGAATATGTCCAGACTGTGTTTCAACAGCTTTGCCAACACAACTTAAGCTTTAGTTGAGAAATGAGCTTTAGCTCTATCCTTTTTTGGATCCTGCAGCTTTCTGAGGGCTTCTAAGAAGGGCCTGCCAGAGAGTTTTCACTTGTGCTGGCAAAGCTTTGGGTAATTTTTAACTTTTATCAGCACAGCTTGCAGAAGAATGTTAAGGACTCTGAGAAGCGAGTCCTTTTCAAGAGTAATTCTGATAAGTCTTTCTGTTATTAAAACAAGCTTTTGCCTCCCAGCTCATCTTTGCCATACAAATCCTCTTGGATGCCTTTGTTGTGAAAGTGATTCTTGTCCAGGCAGTTGAGGGCTTCTTTTGGCTTTGTTCCATTTATACAACCATTCCCTGGATCAGCTCAAATTAACTCAATTATTTTTGTTGAATTTTGCTAATAAATGATTTGCTGCCCTTGTTGCCTAATTCTTTTACTTCATAACATGATTGTTTACTGCTTTGTTTTTCACTTTGATATTGGTAGACACCATTATTTGTTCCATCTCCCGCTGTTGCAAGTCTGTTTTCATATCTAATTTGAAGTGATAGTTGGCTTGAGGAATTTAAATGTTGTGGGGAAAAGTTTTCAAACATACTCTTAAATCTAGAATCTAAGACCTTGTAGCTTACCCCTCAGAAAGAGAGGAAGGTTATAGTGAATCAGTTACACTTCAGTTGTGAAATACTTTCCCTCAGATACTTTCTTCATATCTTTCTTTTGCCTTTTTGGTAATTATATATATAGAAGTTTTTATATGTTTTCATCATAATTCATTTCTCTTTTTAATATTTACTTATATACTGCTGTGGAAAGTGCACCTCAAAGGACGGTGCCAGGAACCACTATAGCAGTGCCAAAAGTCTTAAGCCAGCCCTTTCCCTTTAAGAAAACCAAGAAACACCAACTGAAAGGAAAACTCAGAGCAGCCTGCAAACAGCTGTTTCCAAAGTAACAAAGCTGACCACAGAAACACTTAAGTAGAGCCATTAAGATAAGGGGAATCAGGCTAAAAATAAACTCTTCAAGGTAAACAGAAACTCTTGACAGGATTAAACACCTAAGGACAGGAAAAAAATAAGAGATCTGGGACCAAGATTAACCCAGTAAAACAGAAGACAAACCCAGACCAATCAGAAACACATCAAACCCATCAAGCTGCAGGAGCTTCAAAGGGGAATTAAAAGCATAAAAGGCTCAGATTCACACTCCCAAGGTGCTTGCTTGCCAGGAAAGCTTGAGCTGTGTCACATCTGCTTCTTGCTTTCCTACATTAAAAGAATTCCACTTTCTGGCAGCTGGCTTCTGAATCCATTTCTTTTCAGCATCTGTGGTTTTTCCCAGCTGGGGAATGAATCCAGGGATTTTCTTCCAATAATGCTTAGAGCAATTTAATAATTCCATTGTTTAGGATTGATTTGTACATCCTTAAGTGTTGAGCAGTCTGATATTCTTGTCAATATTGGATATTATATTGACTTTTTTCTTCTTTATCAACAATTGTTAGATATTTTGAGATATTGGAACACTGGTTTTCCATTGTAATTGTATATAAATCCTTCAAGATGCCAGCAGCACTTGCTGAAAATAGTCAAGTGATCTGTGAAGTATGGGCAAACAATCTAGAAGAAGAGATGAGAAAAATTCGGGAAATTGTTCTCAGCTATAGCTACATTGCAATGGTAAATTTATGCTTTTATTCTGATGTAATATTTTTTTAAAGATGTCAATAATTCTAGTTTAAATCAGTGTGTTTAGTTTGGAATCCACTTGATATTTTAAAGAAGCTTCTTTCAGCATTTTTAGTTCTATTAAGTATTTCATTTAAGTAAGTTATGGAGTTCAAATCTGCAAATTTTGCATTAGTTCCTAATAATATTCCTATATAATCCCTGTTTAATTTAAAAATAGATTTTTGTATAAACATTAATGTATTCGACATTTCGATAGGAACATTTGGGACTTGTTTATATAAAGCTTATTTGTAAAATTTTGACCCATATGGCTGGATGTTTTTAGAGTGTTCTGGATTACGTAGATAATTCTCAGACAAATCAATTTTAGTTCTACAGTGGTATCTCAGTACTCATTGTTAATTGGTTCTTGGTGAGTACCAAAAATGATGAGTACCAAACAATATTTTCCCATAAGGAGAAATGTAGTGAGTCACAAGGCAGCCAACATTACAAGTTCTAGCTTGTGCATTAAATACCAAACAATAAGTCCTGGGACAAAATTTTCATGTCAAAATACAAATTCATTGAGTTTCAAAGCAGTTGATTACCAAGGTATCACTGTATCAAAATGGGTTATTATATATATATATCAATACATTAATTTTAATTAATTCTATTTGTTTTTATTCTGTTATTTGTATAGATGCTTTCCTGAAACACATTTAAATATATGCTAAAATATTGTAAACCTAAACCTTAAAACACCTTGTTCCAAATTCATCAGAAATATTTCAATGCATGAATAAACTGTTCCCGATTGCCTTTAAAACAATTGCATGATCTCAGTAAAATAAATTGAATGCAGTGAGAGTGGGTTATTGAAGATGTGTCTGTGGCAAATAAGAAGGCGACCCATGCATATACTTCCCATTCCTTTTGGGAGATCAAAATACATAAGTAATATAAAGGAAAAAGAGTAAAGAAATAACAGGGCAAATTATAAGTGTCAAAAAATACAACAAATGAATATAAAACAAAAATTATGTATGACTTTTTATAATGCAGAGATAATAATAAAATACAGGAACCTCTTTCTAGGTATAAATAATACCAGCATTTAAAATTACTATAAATCAAGATTCTACAAAAATATTCATAATATATACTTCTTTTAATTTAATAAATAATAAAGTGTCAATTATGAATAATTGTACATTTGAAAAACCACGATATTTGAATAGAAATAATATCTGGATTTTGTTGCTTGGGTTTAATGTTTTCTTTTGTTGTTTTCTAGGACACAGAGTTTCCTGGGGTTGTTGTTCGACCAATTGGTGAATTTCGCAGTTCTATAGATTATCAATATCAACTGCTGCGATGTAATGTTGACCTGCTTAAAATTATCCAGTTAGGCCTGACCTTCACAAATGAAAAAGGGGAATATCCTGTAGGAATCAACACCTGGCAGTTTAATTTCAAGTTCAATCTTACGTAAGTTAGAACTTAAGCTAAGAGAACACACCTTGCCCCCTTGGTAGCGTCCGCCGAGTCCCGCCCAGCCGCCCTGTTTAGGATAACCCGCTCCCTC